TAACAGTTGTTAGCTCGACCTCCGAATCCTCCGATCAAGGTAACGCATTATATTAGCACGTCTTATATTAGAATATTTTTACTTCAAACGCGAAGGTTTTTAATAATATTAATTTTTGATTAATGTCTATATCTGCTAAAAGTAGTGTTTACTGTACTTATATTTAGCCCTTGTTTGCCGCAAAACATGTTCGATGATTGAATCAATTCTATTAACGTTTACTACTACGTACTAGTTCCGTGTGGTAACGGATTAAGAAATCGTAGTGTCATCACCCCGTGGGTCTCGTAAGAGTCGACTAAGGGAACAAACAAAGCAACAACAACAAGCAAAAAGAAGGAAAACTTGAAACAAACCTTATACCAACCCGTCTGGCCAGCGTGGTATAGTATGCCCGTAACCTTCTTTCTAAGGAGTGTCCTGTATCCAGCAGTGAACTATTAAAGGCTGTTGTTCTTGTTATTTGCAATGCTGTCATGTGTAGTTTGTTTCCATACGCCGTTGTCATAAGACATAAATATATGTATACTAAAATAATAAATTATACAATAGAATATAAACAAATGGAGGTTTCAATGAATCATTCGGCATCGTTCGAACGGAATTTAAATTAAGGTTGACTTTGTAAGTATAACAACATTTCACATCCAATGACACCTGCATAGTCTCAGTAACATGATAATATTGATACGTGGTAGTCACGTAATGTCGTTAAGCAATATCAAACTATTCTATAAACCATTGCTATAATTGGACACACACACACATTTTTTTTTTGTTTTTTTTTTTTTCTCCGTTCGGAAATCCCCTCGGATACCACCTGTCGGTGGCATGTCGGACTCGAACCGACTAAAACCGCACGCCGTCTCGGGTACTAATAGCCGGGGAACCAGGTATACCCTAGAAAGGAAGTCCCTGGTACCCTATAATTGGACACCTGGATCCTTTCAGTATGGACAAGAATATCCCACAGTCTAATCGAATAATGTTATCATAATGAGGAATAAACATTTCTTTATCTATTCTGCCTATTGTCGATTAGCTGAGTTCAAGAATATTCTATTAAACTATGTTAATATTTAGTTAGAAACGTATAAATATCCAACTGCTTCAGATCTGCTTAGAAAAGTAACAATCCTTTTGAAATTCCGTTTGAGTGTATTAAAATCTCTGTAGCGCCCATTGGTCGAATGTGGTAACTAAAATAATAATAATATTGTACCACATTCGCACAACGCCATCTAGTCTCAAACTAAGCAGAGCTTGTACTATGGGTACTAGACAACTGATATAAATACAAATATACTTTTTTTTTTGTAAATGCACACTTATTATACATAGAAACACCCAGACCAAATCAAACATTAAATGTTTATGCATAAAATGTTTGACTTGAGCGGGAATCGAACCCGCGACCTTTGAAATAGCAGTCCGTTACACAAACCACTACGCCATCCGTTCGTCGACTATTAGACCAAGCGGCCAGTCAAAAGCAAAATAACACAAATTTTAATCCCCAGTGGGGATTGAATCCGCATCGCTACTTACCAATGGTATGAATCCCGTAATTTATCTGAAGGCTTTATTATCCTGCTTACGTGAGAGTAACGATGTGATGACTAGGACGCTAAACACGCTAAAGAACTATTTACTACTACTAGTAACTAATTTCTTATCTCGGTGAGCATTGCGATACTAGACAATAGTGACAAAAATGTCATATGTATACATGTGATAAATCATATGATTTATAAATGATATAATCACACCTGTAACTGATTTAAAAAACCACTGCGATTAATTATTACGGTACAGTACAAGACTCGCGAAAGGTCTAATACTAAACAAATGATCGTAATCTTTGATAAAAAAATGTTTTATTGATTTTAATGCCATTTATCTTTGTCATACATTATACTTAAACTAGACACTGCTTATGACTACATTACAAACTTATGAACTATTCTAAATGTTTTACACTATTATACTACACGGCACACTTAAGGAATTAGATCACGAAAATTGGGAATACTTATAAAAGGAATGGAAAGCAAGTACTAGGAAAGAGGTAGGAACGAGATATTACTCACATATTTTTATTTGTGTGTTGACGGATTGAGAATACGGAGTGTCACCACCCCTATTAATTTCCATGGGTGTCGTAAGAGCCGACTAAGGGAGCAGACTACGCAGGACTGACAACAGCAATGCAAATAAACTTGACACAAACCCTATATCAACCCGTCTGGCCAGCGTGATATAGTAGGCCAAAACCTCCTGTCTAAGGAGAGGCCTATGTCCAGCAGAGGACTGTTAAAGGCTGTTAAAGTGATGATGATTATACGGATGGATTTGGGATTGTAGGCAATAACTAGAGCCTGCTATAGTCGCCTGAACGTCCCGAGTCTTCTTATCTACGCTTTAATGCAATAAAAATATTAAAGGCAAAGACACAGTTTCATCATTTATTTAACACAAGAAAAAATGAAACTTTCTACAAGATTGTCTATAAACCGTCGGGTAACTTCGTTGCGTAAAATTGCGGTGAATTCATCAAATATTAAAACGCCTACGTAGGATCCAACCCACGCGTAATTTATGATTGTCTGAATTTTTTAATTTCTTTACTCACGTTATAGTCGTTACGGTATAGTAAAAAATACTAAGTGCTATGTGATATAGTCTTACTTTTGTATTATATTATCCACTAGCTGGTGCCAGCGACTTCGTCCGCGTGGAATTTGATAAGCGCTGTCTTAGTGCATTTGATTCCCGGACCGGATAAAATTTTATAAGGGTTCTCTGATGGAAAAAAATAGCCTAAGTCACTCCTTATATAGACAGCTACCTGGTAGTAAAATATTATCAAAATCGGTCGAGCCGTTTTGAAGATTACCCGGAACAAACAGACAGACAAAAAATATTTAAATTGGTTTTTAGGTATATGTATCGTGCAAATAACCGTGTTACATCACATCACATCATCACATCAACAGCCTATACTAGTCCACTGCTGGACATTGGCCTCTCCTTAGAAAGGAGGTTTTGGCCTACTATACCACGCTGGCCAGACGGGTTGGTATAGGGTTTGTTTCAAGTTTTCCTTCTCTTTGCAGTGCTGTTGTCCTGCTTAGTTTGCTCCCTTTATCTTACGACACCCACGGGATGAATTGGGGTGGTGACAATTTGTATTCTTAATCCGTCACCACACGGACGTGTTAGCATTAAAAAAAACATTATTTTGACATTACAAATAGACACTTCAATTTTATTTATTTGTATAGACTAAGAAGAGATTAGCAAAAAGATTATACTTTCATGAGGGTAGAATAGAGGTATAGTACGCAATGATCACTAATTTACCTTCCATTGTTATGGTACTGGAAAATAAAACCATTTATTACTAATTAGTTTATTGAAGTAAAACTTGTGTAGTGAAATTTATTCTGAATTTTATTGGAACAAGTTTTGTTAGTAAGTTGTACCAAAATAGGGCTTCGTAGGTATTTTTGTTGAAGCATAGCTGTTTAAATATTTTGTTTTTCATCCCCTTCGCTTTCAAATTTCACGATTATGTCGTAATAACCGCCGTTCCTGGATCCCTCCTATTTTAGGCGTAGTATGGCACATTGTGTGGTTTTAGTAGGTTAGGTTTTGACACAATGCGCCATCGGAAACTCTAGTGGGATGGGCCCAAGGAATTACCACGTCCAAAAAATAAAAAAGTGCTTTCACTACTCTACCGTTTAGGAGTGTGTTTATTTACAGCCTTTGCAATTGATATGTCTTCTCTTCTAATGTCACCATATATCGGTGCGTACCCGTTGTCTCTCTACAGGTGTTGTTAGCTTTGTCGCGGCTAGAGCTGCTTACTGCTGTTTATATGTATAATTTAATAATTTTTAATAATTTATTCAAGTAATTAATTTGTACATGGCATACAGTGTTGTCTTATAATACTTAAATTTACAAGGAAAAACCAGTACAACATATATACAATAGGTCATAGGACTCTCTTTCCTAAACTAGGCAGGAAACCTGTCTGTATCTTAGGTAATAGTATCCATGATGATAAAGTATGTTTCTAATAGTGGTACTCTGAATTCAAATAATTACCTACCTACCTTAATTGTTAATTTGAGAGCAATTACTAGTGTAATCACAAACAAACATTGCCTAAGTAATGTTTAACTCTAGGGGCCATGATATAATCTGTGGATTGCTGTGTTCTGTTTATAGTATTATAATTATTGCAGTGTATTGTATCTATTTGATTGTTGAAAACTGTGGTTAATTAACGTCAAGCTTACCTAATATCTGGTAGTGATTTTACCTAGATTACAGCAGTTTGAATCTGTATTAAATATGATGCATGGTTACATGCTTAATGACTTTGGGTCCTTTCGTACAAAGTCGGCAAGGTTGAACACAGTGAAAGGTTAATGTTGCTGACGTATAAATGTCACTATGACCTTTCTAAACGACTAGGCATGTTCAAAATCATCTCATTATACGAACATAAACGAAGAGGCAACAAACGCATAAATGCTGTCTCTTGTACCCTCCTTATCTTGCACGAATAACTATAAATACGAGATGATTCTTAGCTCGACTTCCCGTTGTGTCTATTGTCCACCAATCAAGTGGGTCTGCAGAACGACGATTTAGCACTTGCGACATCCGCTGCAGATGAACTCAACCATTATACTCGGTTTATTACCTAGAAATGCCTCGATCAATGGCACCAGACGATCGGCTCGTTCATATGTGCGTAGGTCAGGTGCTAAGCCACTCGTCTCAAGTATAAATCGCTCTTGCCACAGTGGTAAGAAATGTGTCCACAAATTGTGTAATTTATTTATTATTCATATATAATTTATGTTTTTTTAACGTTCCAGCATGAGGTCACGGCGGGAGTGTGGTGTCCGCATGGAAGCCCTGCAGACTGGTGATAAGGCGCTGCACACGCTGCGCGCGCAATTCTGCCGTGCCCTACCGGAATGGACCGCTCGCGCGTCTCGTCGCCCCCGGAGTGCGCGAACCGTCGGCCGCTCCAAGGAGGACCCCGCGAAACCCTCGATAACGCAGCCCCGCCCACGGAGACCTTAAACGAACCAGAGACTCCGCGGCCCGCGCCGCGCGCGCTTCCTTCCATCCCCGAGAGTGAACCCTTGCTTCGCGACCCGCTCAGTGTTAGTGCTATCAGTGAAAATGTATCGCGAAAACAAAACGGTCGGTCTTTGCACGTGCAGTTCGACGCGCAGTCACCGCCTGCAGCTGTGTCCGTGTCCAGTTCCAGCTCAAGCTCGTCCGACGATGAAGAGGTGTCTATCGCAGAGGCTCGTCCACCGGACGGTGGCTGGGGCTGGGTCGTCGTATTCGCCTCATTCATGGTTAATCTTATCGCCGACGGTATCACCTTCAGTTTCGGCGTATTTTTCCCACACTTCTTGGAGTATTTTGGTGAAAGTAAAGGCAAGACGGCCTGGATTGCCGGTATTTTCATGGCGATGCCGCTCCTGTCCGGCCCGATCGCCAGCTTCCTCACGGACAGATATGGATGCCGGCGAGTGACCATTTTCGGTTCTATATTAGCAGCTGCTGGATTTGTAATTTCTGCCTTTGTAGAAAATATGGAGACTTTATTTTTGACTTTCGGTATTATGGCTGGATTTGGTTTGAGCTTGTGCTACGTAGCAGCAGTTGTCATAGTAGCTTACTATTTTGAAAAGAACCGCTCCTTAGCCACCGGAATTTCGGTTTGCGGGAGTGGTATTGGAACGTTTGTCTTCGCGCCATTAACCTACCTATTATTAGATGAATATGGTTGGCGTGGAACTACTTTAATATTAGCTGGATTATTCTTAAATATGGGAGTTTGTGGACTACTGTTTAGAGATTTGCCCTGGACGGCAACTATGAACGAGGAGAGGGCAAAAGAAAGAAAAAGAAAGCGAGAAAGAAAACGCAACAAGCGTTTTGGTTCATCAGCAGATAGTGGAAGTTTTTCGGACAGCCGAAGTAGTGCTGCTGGATCAGCAAAAGTACCAGAAGCCGCAGACATTGAAGCTGTGACGTCGCCAATAGTACCTCAGTTTAGTTCTTTAGTAGATTTACCAACATTTATGACTGCTGGTGAGGGTGTTTCACTTGAAGTGTTTGAAATGATGTCACACCGTGGCAGGGCGTACGCCATTATGGCACAAAACTACCCTGGGGTTATGCTACCATCGAGAAGCTTTAGTGATAGCGGGAGACTCCACGAACTGTCACCACCAAGAGTCGTCATGTCCCCAGGGACAATATCTCCTAGACCTTTGTCACCTACTTCAACATCACAAAGGACACAAGATCAGAATTCATCTGCACCACTTGGCGACAAAGCTGCTTTATCTCTATGGCTACGAAGACAAGCTACTGGGTCTACGAAGAAACCACCGGCATTTCTTAAAGACCTTAGAGTACACAGACATTCCCTCACGTATAGAGGTGCTATGCTTAACATCAACAGATATAGGCTCAGAGCGTCTTCTTGCCCCAATATCTTCAGGAACTCTATGACCACCATTGCTAAGGAAAAGGTTAGCCATTCTATTATTTACATTCTTCCACTTCCTTTATCCAATTTAATCGCGTTCCATATCTCAAATTGTCTTTTAATTGAATGGAAATATTTCAATAGTAAGAAAGTTCGTGTGCACTAATGAGTGTGTTGACCCGGAATAATCTTTTTAATAGTAATTTATTTTAATTCACTTTGTAAAGTAGGTATAAACCATAACGTATTATTAAGAATATTGACCTCCGAAAATAGTTTTAGGCAAGTCAGTACTCCCAGTAGTGTATTGTGTGTATTGTACTGCCGGATAAGGTTACATGATCAACAAATTTCTTTACAAAACCTCTAAACCTATGTAAAATATTCTAAGGAAGCTATTTTCAGTAATACAATCACTTCCTCTATTAGGATTTCTGCTTTAAATCAAACCATCCTCCTTTAATTCACTTCAAAAGGTTAATAATCTTCTGGGTCTCTTGCCTTTGAGTCTGGGAATAGCTCGATGTTAGATATTTTTAAATTGTTAAACCATCTGATTCGACATCCAGATAGAAAACACTTTTATAATAGCACTTTTGCATTGCCTTAATATCATATCTACGATACCGACTTTGCGATCTGGACATAAGCGCTTTAATATATATAGTAAATACTTCTTCAAATTGAAAACTGCACGAGTTAATTTTTAAATATAATGTGTCATTAAACTTATTGCAAAACTGTATATTTTCAGGTTCAATGGTACGCCGGTTTGTGGGACTTTTGGGACTTGGCAGTGGATGTCCTGGACTTCTCACACTTCAAGAACCCCGCGTTCGGTGTCTTCGCCTTGTCCAACTTCCTTCTGTACATGTGGTACGACGTACCTTACGTGTATTTGGCTGATAGCGGAATGTCCATGGGATTTAATGAGTCCCAAGCTTCGATGCTGATTTCCATTATTGGAATACTGAATATGTTTGGAGAGGTAAGATAATTTGTTAATTTAATTTTACTGTTTTTTTTTTGGCCATTTTACTAATAATCCTAAAGTCCATGTAAGATTTAACCGTCTGTTTTCTTAATATTGGTACTTTTATAATATTCTTAGCAATTTACAGTAATTATTAAATGTTTATCGGTTTTTATGAATAAAATATTTAATCATTTTTTCAATTATTCAAGGAACATGACGGTAGTAATGATAACCTTTAAACTATTTTATATTGTATCAGATACGGATGGGTATTTGAACGAAATAAAATTTTGTTCCTTTTTTGAGTTGTTATTTTATGGTCGATTCGTTTGTTTAAGCTCTAAGTGGAAAAATGTCATACACGTAGGTATGTTACATACAAAGTAAACATGAATATAATGTATGTTGAATTTTTCACAGTGTTTGTTTTTATGAATCAAAAGATATTTTTGGACTTGTTATGATAAAAATATTAAAGTTACAAATCAAGGCCACAAAATGCCGGGTACCTACTCTGTAATTTTTCAATATTATCTGTATTAGATTTTTTGGTCTGTGCTCCTAGGGATGATGTGTCCAAATAGTATAGAAGCGAAACTATCTTCATGAGATGTTAAATATTTTTAATGACTATGGCACTGCCTCGGTGTTGCAGTAGGTAGGGTATGCGACCGCCGTGCTGAAGTCTCGGGTTCGATTCTCGGGTCGGATCAAATGTTTGTATGTTTTACAAATATTTCTTTCGCAGTTTGTTTTTACTAAGAAAGTATATAAGTATTCTATCAGTCAATCCAGCTTTCATAGTACAAGCTCTGTTTAGTTTAAATCTAGATGGCGTCGCGTGTTTAGATGTCCGAAATCTTGAAAGGCATCACTACTTAGTTGTAGTATGTCGGTGGAGTAGTTTGTGAGGCGGGTGACGGTTGCAGATCCTGCTGGGCTGGGTGGGCGACTGGGCGTGCGTGAGCCCGAGCGTGGTGTACGCGGGCTGCATGGTGGCGTGCGGCGCGGTGACGCTGTGCATGCCGCTCGCGCGCTCGTACGCCGCGCTCGGCGCCGCGTCGGGCGCGTTCGGCGCCGCCATCGCCGCCAACTACTCGCTCACCTCCATCATCCTCGTGCAGCAGATCACGCTCGAGAAGTTCACCAATGCCTACGGCCTGCTGCTGCTCATCCAGGGCATGGCCAACCTCGTCGGCCCGCCCCTGGCCGGTGAGTCGCCGCCCTTCGCTATCTTAATAACTCGACTGATCAAAAAATACAAAGTACCCCACTCGATCAATTTTTCTAGTCGTCTCCTCACCGCTGAGTGTTGTGGGTTCGAGACCCACGTGGCGCACATTTTGTTTGATCAAAAAATTGTTGTTCTTTTTGTATGTTTTTTGTGTCCGTTACAAATGTTTATGAGTCGCCGCGACACAGGATTATATTATATACCTATTGCGAAAGTTACTTTAAAAAGAACTATCCTTTTCAGTGGTTTAACCCTTATACATATTATTTAGTTCGACCTACCTTCTATGTGTAATTACGTATAGTAATTAACACCCATCGTCGATCTTTGCAGGTTGGGTGTACGACGTAACGGACTCGTACGACCTGTCGTTCTACCTGGCCGGCGTGTTCATCGCCGTGTCGGGTCTCGTGCTGCTCGTGCAGCCGCTGTGGGGCCTCACTAAGCGCTGCCTGCGCCAGCCCCCTCCGCCTCCCACACCTCCCCCCCCCTCACCCGTCGTCTCCGCACGACAACAAACCTAACGGCGTGTCCACGCTCAACGGGAAACTTCTCGTGTAAACTGTATATTGGATATTGTCCGCGGGGAAATTTCAGTGTTTGTCACTAAAATGTTTTAGGGTGAGCCTTCTGACTGTACTTTTAGCATCGAATTGAAGTCTCTCCATTTAGAGAGGGTAGTTGAACGAGCGACGATATAAAGAGCTCGTTTTCATTTTGAAGATGAAGACCATTTGGGTGTAGTCAAATTAGGACTTAAAGTTTCTATCGTTAAGGTTCACGGTTTATAATGTAAGTCAAAATCAGTAAAAAGTTTGAATATTATGGTTGAGTCTATGACAGACTTCCTTTACGAGGGACTTATTTTGTTATTGCACATATTAGTGATGTAACTGTCTGTTTTTTAAATGATTTTTGATGATTAAATTGTTCCCTTGTTGAGTATCAATAGCCTGTATTATATTAAGCATAACTTCTTATGTAAACTTAACGAATCCGAAATCAAGATATAAGGGATAAGCTATAGGACAATTTGAAACTTTATTTCTTTATTAGTGTGTGGGTGTGACCACTAATTGAATAGTGTGTCGGAACAGCCATTTTACTGTATTACTGATAGAAAAAAGTCACCAGGATTTTTTACATCGTAATATTGTAGTTAAATAAAATGGCGAAGCGACTCGCTGATCAGTTAGTTGTCCGTTGATTGTAAGAATTGTAATATTCTATAAGTAATAATGTATAATATAGTGTTATTGAAGGAGACGAGAAAGATTCTCGTGTAGTAAATTGAGAATTTATATTTAATCGAGTTTTAGAAACACTCGAGTAACAACAATCTATCTGCTTAAATTAAAAAAATGAGCTGATGCTTCATTTAAGGTAGAACCACTTCGCTCGCCTTCTAAATAACTGTTATAATTATAAAAACGATTCTGAGAGTTTTTTATAGTTTTGTACTTACACAAATGTTTTAGTAATTTTTTTCATTGGTGTAAAAAATGTGTTTCTCTCAAATCAGCCTTTTATGTTACGACGGTTTTTCAAGACGGGCAACATTAATGATGTTTTCTTTTAAAGTCGAGTAGCTGTAATTCTAAGCAATGTGGCGAGAGAGATGTTCGAATTTCAAATTCGTTTGTGATTGCTAATGGAGGGAGAATTTTTTTAAGCGAACGAAGCACACTTGTGACATTAGAAAAAAAATATTCGTATCGAGTTTTGAATTGATTAGACGTAAATTAAGGATAACAATATAATATTATTATTTATAATATATTAAAAAGTAAAAAAAATGTACTGTCAAAGGAAGTAAATTTTTTTTTGTCTGTGTCATAATTTTGTGTTTGCCCTGAAAAGTGTGTTTCAAGAAAGTGCATTATTTATATTATTCTTTTTTTGGTAGTACATTATTTTTTGGATTGTAGTCGAGCGTTTTTTGAAATAATTTATAAGATTTGTCAGAATTGTAATCAAGAATTTACCTATAAATACTTCGAAATCGATAATTATTAGATAAAATAATAAAATTAACTCACCAAAGACTGCCTCACATTATTGGAATCAGATATAAAGATCTTTCCGTAGTTGTATCGGGCCTATATTAAAGGCTCAGTAGTAAATACAATTGCCTTAATAAATTCGTATGTTTCTCCAAATAGAAAATAAGCAATGGTGTTCACTGAACAGCCAATTTAATTAAAAAAGTAATCGTAATTGCACTTTCTATAGTACCTACATCAGTAGTGATGATTTAGTGAACTTTATTTAATTATGTCTGATCGTCTACATTTATAGTAACTTTAAAAATGATTATGCATGTAACCGAATGATCATAGAGAATAAGATTCGTAAAAAAAAATGGCGCCAACTGTCAGAATGATAGGTAGCTTGATTGAATTTTTGTGTAGTAATTAGCTATTACAGTAGACATTTTGCCTTCATTACTAAGTCTGTATTACATTTCAATTTTAAAAATTAAAAACTAGATTCCTTAATGTAATAAAATTCTTTGTAATTTACCTTGTATACGGGAAAGTGATTTAATTATCTGCAATTTTACGAAGTGCGTCAGTCTTCTGTAGAAGAGCATCAATCAGAGATGCTACCCTGATGGCGCTTGGTTGCTTTGATGATTTTTTGCAATAGAAATAACCATAATTACGTATAAGTCAAATCAACAATCATCTTAGAAATTAAATCAGGTATTTTATATTTAAGTAACTAAGCCGAAAGGTAATGTAAAAAGCTAAGGCACGCCATTATCCTTTTATATTACAAAGGTCATTTTGTTCCTTATTTAAACTTATTTGTACTAAGAGTCTATAGAATCTTTTTTTTAAATATTTTACGACATTGTCCTACAAAGGAAGTAATTATATTTTTTTACTATTCGTAATTTTTGGGTGTTTTTTTTTATTTTGCCGTGTCGACGATTTTATTTGATTGGTAAGATGTTTCGTACATTTATCATTTAACATTAGATCTCGTGTTTATTTTAAACCATTATAATAAATTTCTGCATTTAACAGTGCAGTATTTAATTTACTTCATTTAATTTTACATACCCCTATGATATAGACGAAAACAACTAACATTAAACATCATTCTGTAAAAAAAGATTCCGGACAATTAAAAACAACCGATGTCACTTGTAAATTGTCAAAAAGTCCTAACTACAAGCTCTTGCCAAAATATATAATGTAAGTGCGTGTTTTGAATTTAGATTATTTGTTTGGTGGTGATAATATCGTGACCTCAAATATGTGTCAACTTCTTTATTGCGTTATATGTTTCGGGACCGCCATGTTGTTTGATTGTCCCTAAACTATAGAGGGTAGAGGCGAGGAGAACCATCTCTGCGTATGAAGTGATAGCCTAGGATAAATTTATATTGGCTTAAAAAATAATTAGTCAGTGTGTACTAGACTGCGAAATAGTCAATGAGTTTACAGACAATAAATAAACGTGTAATAACTTTCAGACAATAAAAGTATTACAATATTTTGACTTTTCACACTTCTACAGCTATGTTCATATCGTAGTTTCTTTCTTCAGTTTCTATTTTCAGTATTTAGCTGGCAACTTTCATATGAGATGGTTCTCCATTCCTCCACACTCCATACCAAAAACAGTAGAGTACAGTAAAAATCAAAAGTATACTTATCTAAAGTCCTTAATTTTTCGTGTGTTTAGTTATATAATTTGAATGCATGATGTTATCAGAAAGTATTTTAGGAAACTAGTTACAAGTTGTTGAGAATAATACTGTACTAGCTATCCATGTTGAGGTAGAAATAAGTTTGCATTGTCTAGACAGAATTAATATAGGATTGTATGAGTTTTAATAACACTTGGAGCACACAATGAGTGTTTTATTAATATACGGCGTTTAGCTGTACGCGTGTGTACCATCGGTTAGAATCTAAAACATCGAATGGACAGTGTCTTATACTTGAAAATCAATGTTAAAGAGTAAATCGCTCGTTGTGTGGCTACGGCTGTGTGCGCTTCATTAACAGCGCTTGTCAGTCTCGATATGGCGGCGGTGATTGTAATAAACGGGTAAACAACAATGTATTGTTTAATATCTGATGCACTCACGTGTATTTTAGTAAAATTCTTTTCGAATTTATTTTTGTTTGTTTTATTTACCGATTATTTTTATCCTTCTTTAGTCGATTAGTTATGTTTCGTAATCGATTACTTTGTTTCACATTTTCATTTTTGCATCACTTTATTATACTTTTTACTTCATTTAGTGGTTAGTTGTTTATAAAATGTTAACATAATATGTCGTGATATACTAATTAGATTTTCAGTATTTTTTAAATTTTTACTTAAATTTATCGCTTCGCTAGGATTTTGGGCAGTTATTCAAATTAAGTAAAAGCACTCGGCCTTAAACGTATATAGCGATTTTCATTGTAATCAGTTCTCTTTCTTGCACAGTAAGCTTACCTTCTCCGTGGTCCTACCGCGATGTTAATGGAAATTAAGTGTTGACCCAACTACATCAGTCGATCGAGTGTGATTTATGATGCATCGACTAACTTCTATTAATCGATATTATAAACACGATTAACTAGTGTTCTGTATTTGGGAAAAAAAGTTTTTTATGACTATGATTGGATAAAAACGAACGATATTTTGAAGTTCTTCCAAATTAGTGGTATACTTTGCACACTATAGGTAGAGTCGGCACAATTTTAGGAATTAAAAGATAAAACAAGATGACTCCTGTGCTAATAATATAGAGAACGTAAATTTTTGCATTACTAAAATTAACATTAAAAGTTTAAAGCAATTGTGATTAACAGTTTACACCAAAAAAAGCAATCATGTATTTTAAGTATTAGGTCTTAGTAAGTCAAGTTTGAATAACATTTATTATTATTATTACGTAGAGTTGTTAATGGAAGAAATACCTCAATGTAGTTCTTAAAAGAAACCCTGGCACCCATTATTGGATATTGGAAACGTATATGGATTCATAATTATGTACCTACTGTATCTATTAATAAAAACCATTTTAGCTTCAGTGTGATTTTCATTTTTTATCTTTGTTATTATGGAAACCTTGTGTTATTATTTATATGTCCGTGTGGTGACTGATTAAGAATATGGAATGTCACCACCCCTATTCGTCCCGTGGGTGTCGTAAGAGCCGACTAAGGGAGCAAACCATGCAAGACAACTGTAACAGCACTGCAGAGAGAAGGAAAACTTGAAACAAACCCTATACCAACCGGTCTGGCCAGCGTGGTATAGTAGGCCAAACCCTTTTTTCTAAGGAGAGGCTTATGTCCAGCAGTTGACTAGTAAGGGCCGTTGATGATATATACGTTGTTGTAATGGAGGCTCGAGGCAATGAGAACCATCTCTCTGTATGAAAAGTGCCCGTAAAAACACGTCCAATAAGGGTGGCGCTGCGGTGGCCTAGGATACATTTATGTTAACTATAATAATTAGACAATGTGTATTAGACTGCGAAAATAGTCAATGAGTTTACAGACAATAAATA